ATTATATTCCACATTGATTCCATTGACTTATTTCAATCAGTTCTCAAAATACTTCAACAACACGGGTCGGGGCAAATGTGAAAAGTTAAACTTCAGATCCCCACATCGATAGATCCTGTTAGTAATTGAGCATATAAATTTTGCATAAAAAACGAACAAAGAGAAAAAAAATCCATATGAATACGGTAAAAAACAAAGATTGAAGTATAGAAAGTTGGAGAAGAGGAAGAAAGAAGGAAAAAAGAATAAAGTAGTCGCAGAATTAAATCCTTAATCATCGAGTTGTTAAATTCTTTCCTGTCAGCTTAAATAAGCTTCTTGTTAACTCCATCATTATTTCATAATGCTGAAAATATATTTGCCTGTTCATTTGAAACTGTTGAACTGTCTCTTATAGGTAAACATTCTTGATGGATATGGCTGTTGCACTGCGGTACTACAAAAAGATCCTGATGGACAGTTGTTTGGTTTTGGATCCCCTGCAGGTCAAGACTTTTTGTCAAGGAATCCCGAGTTGATGTTTAAATTCAAAAGCCATTTTGGTGGTAAGCTTTTCACTAATTTTTTGCAGTATTTCTGCACTATTGTTTGAGTTCTGCAAAATCTAACACCTCCATGTAGGTCACATGTAATAAAGTTTCATGAGTAAATTGTAAGATGCTGGGGGTTGTGCCATATACTGACTTCCGGAATATGGGAATGATCTGCAGAACAGGGTATGGTTTTTCAAGCTTAAGCTTTGAGTCATAAATAGGGTATCCTTTTGAACTACATTTCCAACTTTGTCTACAGTTCCTGTCAAGTAATTCAGGGTATACACATACCATTACAATGCTAAATAACCAACTATCCTCAATTACAGTGACCACCACCCAAGAATTAAACTCTTTCGGATCTGATAGGTTATTATCAAAAAATATTTTTATTTGTCACAAGGGTAATATTATCAGGATCCTGTGGAGCACCCATATTCCCTAAACCAGTTGGAATATCCCCTCGGAGTAGTTAGTAACATCTAAATTATGTTTATTTACAGGTGCAGACAACAAAGATGTTACATATAAAGACATAACAGCACTATTCAACCAAAAATACAGTAAGATTGCAATGATTATTGTATGCATGCATTTGTGTGATTCCATTCCATGCACGTTTTTGTGATTACAACTTTTTGGATTCCAGCACACACCTCTTCATTAATAATTATTAGTTAATTCTCTGGGAGTGTGTAATCCCATATATTGGCTATCATAGCAAATATATGAGAGTACACACTCGCAGATAATTAACTAATAGTTATTAATGAAAAGGTTTGTGCTGGAATGCAAAAAGTTGGAATGGTTTCAAGCTCTGTGTCAAATAACAGGGTATTGACTATTCAAATCCATTTCCAATTTTTTTCTTTCACATTCAGAGTATAGCTTTATATACTAATCAAGCACTTTTAAATCTTTTCAAGTCCACATGGAGTATACCCCACTAGTTAATTATTATAAAGTCTACATTATTATTCATAAATGTTATAAAAGATATTGTTGTTTGGGTCTTGGGACCAACATCATTAAATACCACCAATATACTCAATCTTGTTATGGTTTGAGAATATTTATATTAGCTTTTACATTATCATTAATATCATAATTACTCAAAAATGTTAATGATGTCATATTGCTATTTTCCTATAAGGGCAAGCCATAGTGAATAATTATTAGAGGTCCTCCAATGTTATATAAAACTTTCTGTTCTCAGTGATACAGGTTTCTTAATCATTCTATAGTTGCTTTTAATGGTACAGCCAATTGAAAGCCTTTAGATGATTGTTATCAGGGGTATCTATGGAGTTATGCTAACTATATCACAAAAAAACTCTAAAAGGATACACCAGACAATATTTTCATCAAAATAGGCGAGTTTTGGGAAGTCTCAACAGCCCTAGAAAACTATTACATTCTCCGAAATCTTAGTGCTAAAATTGCAAAAAAGAACAGGTTCACAAATACTGGTAGTAATCAATTCGTTTTTCAACTTCAACTTTTTATTTGCTTACCCATATATTTTCTTTGATAGACTATTCACAACAGAAACAGAATTATTATATACAGAAGCTTGTTTTTAGGTTAAAATTCTCTTGAGAGTTTGTAAGTGCATGTATGAATCATGAATATGATGTATGTTAGCTACCATTAAAAGATCATGAAGAATGTATTGTAATCATCAAAAATAACACCTGTATGATGAAATCCATATGCACACATAATTATTATATGCTGACTTAGTTTTCTCATTACCTTTAGGTCAAATGGTTGGAAAACCTTCAAGAGTGCCATACCTCAAGGGTGGTTTTGAGGTTGAGGGACTTCCTGAAGATTTGCCTTTTCGGAAGCCTTTCATGTATGGCGGGATGCAAATGAGGAGAATTCTTGAGGCTAAAGAAAGCATCATCTTCAAACCAGCCCCATTGCAAGGACATAGTGATGATGCTGTTGAGACTCCAATTGAACAAGAGCCCATCCCAACAGAAGCAACTCAACAAATACTGGCATCCCTGTTAGCCCATATTGCTGGAGACAGAGTGTCAAGGCGTGCACTTAGTGGTGGTGGTGTCATAAAAGAAGAAGAAACCGAGGTTGTAGATCTCACATTCAGTAATCGTGAAATGTGGATCCTACAGTCATACGGCATCACATATTTTGATACAGATGCATGGAAGGGGCTTTGGCACAATGTTCAACATGACACAGAGCATGATGGTGGTGTCATCCTTCCTGTGCTGAGTGGAGGAGAGGATGAGAAGTTTTGGCTTTTTTTGTGCTCGCTGAAATTGGGCACTATTCTAAAAGCATCAAGTGGCAAAGCACTAAAAGGACACTGGCTAGACAGGATTCCATCATCATCTAATGAATATCGACTACTCACTGACATGACCAACAGTGTCACCAAGCTTAATGCCATCAAGCTCGAGAATGGCACACCTCTCTACCACTTGTATTATGCAATGCCATCCCAAAATGGCACATACAAATTGGATGCATTGTTCGAAACTGCCATAGAGCAAGCCATAAGAAGATTAACTCGAGTCAACCCTGAAGATTTTTAATTTATTTATTTTGAGATTATAATTGCAGTACTAGTTATGTATCAATTCTTATGCAACAAATCAAGCTTGAGAACTAAATGTTTGTGTTAAAGGCAAATTTACACAATTTCAATTTTAGTTCCTTCAACATGTACTCTTCTGAGATTATAAAATTTTAAAAAAATGTCAAGATCAACATGTTTTATATTGGTAAGCATTCTTTCCTTGTATCTCAGTTTTATTGCTAATCTGGTACCCCTGGGCAACAGAGCTAGGAGAGGGTATCTTTGCATGGTTACCTGGGAGTGAGTGAGTACCACTTTCATAATAAGCAAACATGGTTGTAAAACATTCTAGAACCAGTTTCTCACAATTTGCAAAACAATTTTCAATGGGTTATTATTGCTTATTTTGAAAACTAGCTACTGTTACAGTAGCTAACTTATTTCTAACTTTTTAAACAAAATTTGGTTATTTGTAGAAAAATTGATTCATTGATATCTCCACTTTTGGAGTAAGGGAAATAAAAACTCTGAAACACCTACTTTTATACACACAATACTTTAATTTGAAGTTTTTAAATATTTCCATTTTTCTGTCTAAGCTTCTATTGTAAGCCTCTATGTATTATATCTTTTGGGAAGTTACTATAACATTCAAAACTGCAACTTACACAAATATTGTACAAAATTTCCTATATTTTTCAGTCCACATTATTCTTTATAAAAGGTTTTCATACATTTTGTGATTGACAGGAATGCCTGATTGTGAAATTTAATTGCTGAAAACAATATGTATTGATTTATTTGTTTTTTTATTTTTTTAATTTGCTGTTAATTGATATATTTTGGTCTGGGAGTATTTTGGATATTTTTCCAACACTTTGTCAGTATACATCTGTACTTGTGAATGAGATTGAGATAAGGGGTTCCTCTCTCCCTAGCTCTCAGACCTCTGATACCCGGGTTACTTAAAAACACACAATTTACACTATTGGGTTTGCCATATCCAGCCTCAATAGTGTGCAATGTTTTCTTTAGGACTTGACTACTGTCTGTAGTTGTGTGAAATGTGCATAGTTAGAAAGGATAGTGATAATAAAGGTTGCAGACAACGAATCATTTCAAGGCTGGAGATGATAAACCGATCACAGCTGCACAATTAATTATTGGCCACTATTGGTATCATTCACTCAAACAGTGCTTTCCATTTTAGTATTTGACTTTTTATTAGAGCTCATTTAACATTAACAATCTAAATAGAATAAAAGACAAGGAATAGTTCAGATGTTGGTCTTTTAATTGCCACATCAAATGCAATTGTTGAGTTTTGTAAATTAAAACTGCAGTGCCAGGATCAACAGAATTTGCCAAATGTTATTTCTGTGGACGTTTTAAACTCATTGTCAGCGATAAGAAAGTTTCTTATCTTACCAGCAAATATTAATAAGACTACTCATAATCTAGTTGGGAAGCATGTACAAATTTTCATAGCTTATTTTCATGTTAGCATACAGCATTAATGGTCGTTTTGCAGTAGTAACGGGAAAAACAATATATTTTGTTGATACTGTTTGATGTTCAATATTAAAGTAATAAATAATATGGAACTTGTGAAAATGCTCTACTGACGTACAATTATTGTATAAATGTTTTTGTAATTGTGCATGCAATCAAAAATCAGTAAAATTATGAATAATTTATTATGATAGTTCATATTATTACATTGATATATGATTAATTTGAGAATTTCAAAGTAACTTTTCACAACTGTAAAAGAGATTTCCTTTCAATGACTAAAGAACAACTAGACAATTTCATTCCTTTCAATAAAAACATAATATACTCAGACTTACAAGATGGCAGAATATCCTTATTTGTGAAACAAATACACTGAAACAGTGGAAAATGAACTATATGTGTTATCAAAATAACCTATAAATCTATCTGACTTCAGTTTATTTTTGGTTTTGAAAACATGTACACTACAACAAAAATTGAACAATATTCAAATATTTCAACACAATGAAATAATTTGTCAGTCTATAAAATAGATCTTGGCACTTAGGTACATTAATTATGGTATTATGAATTTACTTATCATTATCGTTACAGTGCAAATCAATTACATTTTTCAGGAATGTTGTTTGTCTGTGATTGGCCAAGGAACGATACAACCATTCCTGAAATATTTGTCTGGTCATGGTTTTGTGATTCTTACTGTAAAACATACATTTTATTTCCCTTTTTTGTATGAGCCTGAGGTATGCTTGCATGTAGTCTCTGACTCATCAGTACAGTCTTTGATTTTTGGTTAAATTATGGAGAGGTAAGAGCCTTGTACCTTTTTGACCCTTTCTTTATGTTGTGCTTCTGTGGCAAATGATAATCCATTCGGTAACCTTCCCACTTGCATGACTTAACTGGGCAAGGTCGCAATGGCCTCTTATTTCCACTCTTTGCTTCTCTAGAAGAGAAAACAATAATTTAAAATGGTTGTAATACCTGTTTGTTACTGAAGATGTAAGATGAATAATATGATTAGTGAAAAGGGATTTCTTGATACAAAGAATAGGCTGTTTTAGATGAATTTATATACAAAAAACATATTGGCCTTACAACATCCACATTTGCATTTTCACAACAGCTTAATATTTTACTCACTATTTGTGATTATGAGGCAGCATGGACATTACATACCAAAAAAACTATTTACTACATTTCTATTGTAATAATCGAGGCGCCCACTACTGTTAGAATGAAGCTGGTGCTAGGGCAAAAAGAATAAAATCATTGAAAAGCAGGATAATGTCGAACAATGCCTCTTCCTTTTTGTAGTCATTGTTCTATCTGCCTTTCTTTGTTGCTTGGGCGAATCACAATCTTTGTTCTGATGAGTAGGGCTACTGTAATAATCTTGATATTACTTTTTTCTCTTGCCGATTACTTAGGACTTTTCTAATTTAGATTAAAAGTAAGAAATTCAATTACATTCTCATGGATGTTACATCAGAAAGAACCACACACTGTACAGTCACAGTGCTTGCAAAGTAGCATTTTTCCAAGTTTTTTTATTTAAAAAAGTACAATACATGGAATTTTGGAAGTTGTATGTGTTTTAAAACCACAAAATTTAGGAAATGAATATCTTTAACAATGAAATAAATATTTTTTAGAGATAGTTCAACTAAGAACAATGCATTGTATCAACAAATTTGGAAATATTACTAAAAGTTTTCAAATATGAATGATCAATGCACACTGATATCTATTTATTGACACAACTATATACATGTATCTCACCTGATTCTTTTGCTCTTTTCTTGAAGTCTTATTTTTGAGACATCTTCCTTTTTGAGTTTGTGAAAAAACTTCAAATGGTTCGCAATGTGTGTGTAGTTTTCGTTACAAATCTGTAAAATGAATAAAACACACAATAAAGTTATGGAAAATACAAAATATTTTTACAGGACCTACATGCTGAGCTCCACATCCATGAATCACTAAAATAACAAACAATTCCCTTTGCATGGCAATCAAAATAATATACCGAGTCATAAATTATGTCACTAGAAAATCAAACTTTGATATGAACTATAAGTCAACAGAAGTGATGCAGCTTTAAATATCACCATGGTAACCCGACTGTATATATGACTGCTTTTTGATGACTTATTTATTAATTTTTTGGATTTAACTTACGGAGACGACATTAATCTGTATTATGCTGATAACAAACAGTATTACTTACTGGACATTTGTATCGATACGTCTTTTTCGAGCCAGGCTGTTTTGGTGAGTCTGAACCCACGTGGCATCTGGCGCTTGTGTCTTCTAACTCTTCATCATGTGGCTTTTCGAATTCTGACTCTGAGAAATCATCTTCAACCCGACCATCGAGTACACGGAGCACTTTCTGTGCCTCGCTCTTCATTTTCATTCTAATAACTTCAATTGCATCGCCATTAGTGGGCTTAAGATCGCGTGTATCACATGTGCCGCTTTGGTGAAATGACTGTAACAGCGTTTCCACATTTTTGAGGAATTTGGCACGAAGGTCTAGACCTATTTCGTTCGCAACTCTTCTTTCAGCTCGTAACTGTCCCAGGAAATCACTGTTCTCAAACCTTGGCCTGTAGTTAAAAAACATTTTGATGGAATTAGGATGTTGCTTCCACTCATGTAGATGCCGTTGCTATTCCATCGAAATAGAGCCTTCGAGTTATTGGGTCAGCGATACCTAAAGAAGTCTCTCTTGCGGGCGTTAACATTTTCGGCCAGCATCCATGCCCCCAGTTTACATTTTCTTTGACCAACAATTATTAACAACCAGAAGCAATATTCAGACAACACGACCCGGAAAAATGTACGTATATTACGCACATTTTTACTCCGACGAAAGACAAAGGTCCGAAACGTAAGTTTTTCAACTTTCTCAACGATGCTACAAATTACCTTTTTTCGTGCCCTTATATAATAACATTCTGGGTTATTATGCCACAAGGATCAGTACTGGGTCCAATCCTTTACAGCTTATATACGGCCCCCCTTGGTGACATAATTCGAAAACATGGCCTTAAGTTCCACCTGTATGCCGATGATTGCCAAATTTATGTGCCATTTATGCCTAATGATGAATCTGCTGCTCTGTTGGAAATAGAGGCCTGCGCTAAAGAGATCTATGCATGGATGGCATGTAATGGGCTTAGGATCAATCGCGATAAGACTGAGTTTTTGGTTATACATGCCAAACATCGCCCACGACCACCAACATGTGACATCAAAATTGCTGGTGTCAGGGTAGTTTTAACTGAGTCAGCTAGAAACATAGGAGTAATGTTTAACGATGTTATGAATCACGAGCATCAAGTTCAAAATATCTCTAAAGTAGCTCTCTTTCACATACGCAATTGATCTAAAATCAAGAAATGTCTTACTCACAGGAAGATACTGAAACGTTAGTGCATGCTTTTATTACATCTAAGCTGGACAATCGCAATTCTTTGTTGGGTGAATTGCCACAATACTTATTAGATAAGGTTCAGCGGGTACAAAATGCTGCAGTGCGTCTCGTCTCCTGCACTCCCTGTAATCAAGTTTAATGTCTTTGCGTGGGGCATGGTTGCCCATATTGCCCGAGCCAGAGGCTCATATAATCGCAAGACAACACCCACCCATCCCACCCCAGGGGAGGACATCCATCACACAATAATCTCGTGCGTGGGAAATTAACGTCTCCTACCCCTAACCCTGCAGGAGACGGGACCTCCATTTATTCGTCCCTATCCGAGAAGACTAGAATATCTAAACCATTTCTTGATGTTATAGAAAGGCAGCATATTCTTCTCAATTATTTTAAGACCTTGCGTGTTGGTCCGACCTTGATTGTTGGTCCGGCCTTGAGTGTTGGTCCGGCCACTCGAAAATATGACCGAATTGCGCCAGTCCTTAAAGAGCTTCACTGGCTACCTGTAAAGCAACGTATAATCTTTAAAATATAAGTTTTTACCTATAAGGCCCTGAAAGCTTTATTTTTTCTTTAACAAATCCTGACACATCTAAGGTGACTGTTCAATTTTCATTCGCACTCTAAAGCTCTAATTGTACGTAATAGATATCATGAGTCCCGTGCATAATACTAGCGCCCGGACTAGATATTATGCGACAGATTGCACGCTTGATGCATGGCTGATTCCAAACATTTATAACCTTTCGGCTATCGACATTAAAAATTGCAATATCGCATTACGTATATTATCAATTTGGTATGTCTTGATTAATATGACACAACCTGAAACAACCCTGAGATCACTGAGTTGGGCTAACTATGTTTGTATGTGTGTGTCAATTTTGTTACTGATATTTTAAAAGTAAAAAATATGTCTTTCATTGCTTGTTCTTTAATATTAAATGGTGTAGACCGAATAAAAAGGATGCCCTAATAAAAAGATTGTTTTAAGGACATATCGTATCATTTGCGCTGTTTGGTCGGTAAGGTTCATGTAACAGTATTGACTGAACGCAAGTCCCGTGGCATAAGTACGAGCGTTGCACAATTCCTCCGAAAGCTCTTAATTTTTTGCAAAACAATTATAGCTAACAAAGCAAAAAATATTGAAAGACTGTTTTTGGTTTAAATATGTCGATGAAATTCGCTCCAAATGATTTTCTTGTGTTAACGTGCTGATTTTGTATGTGTGCTAATTTTGTTTTCAGTGTGCTAATTTTGTTATCGATCTTCGTGTAATAACGTCCTTTGTCAATACATGCTAACATAGTCATATCGATCAGGATCGTATATCACCATAACGTGAACAGGTGATTTTCCCATGCTGATCATGTTAAAACGTATACAGTAAAATCAATGTTAATATTAACACACATTACCCGTAGAAAAGCTCCCAGTAGGGACTTTAAGCAGTCAGGACGGCAACGCCACGGAAGACGTTGATTAAAAACTGAGTTTCTACTTTTAGTTAGAATTTCGAAAATGGCTGCATGTGTTTACCGCCTCATAGGGCGCCAGATCTCAAACTCAACATAACGCATACAAGTAGAGTTGAGGTCCAAAAGAATTTTTCGCCGCGGTTTCGCTTCGCATACGACGCAAATTTTGGTGATTTCACGTTGTTGTTTTGCAAAGGACGTCTAAGAAATGTACAAAGTTTTAAAACGCACGTACTGGGCTATTGTTCTGCCAATTAGATCTACTGTTTTTCCACGCGTTCTCGTTCCCGTAGCCGTCGTGGTTTGTTTAAAGTCCCTAGTATTAGACATCGCACGCGACTACCGCATTTTACAAATACTTGCGTATTTTCATTTTCTAAGTGGCGATGCATGCACCTCTGATCTAGCTATTTCAAATCAGACGCAACCTTTCTTATCAGCAGAAGTCACTTTCAAGACATATATGACTGTATGGGATGATCCACTGAACACGGTATGCTTTTTCAAGGTTCGCGAAGGGTATCCTATTCAACTTTATTTCCGACTTTGTCTCAGTTTCCATTCATACTCAGACTATACAGATACTAAATGAACGTTCAATCATTAACGCTATCCAACATCGATCCTACAGGGATATAAAGCTGTGTGCTCATCCGGACAGGTTCTTAAGAGTAGAACCAGTAGCGGATGCAGCAAAAAAAATCACAATAGGGGGACTTTTCTTTAATTAAGATCAAAAGCTCTCATTCTTTTGGGATAGGCATTGTTATTCCTATTGTAATTCATGTGGAAGAGGGAGGGACAAGTCACCCCGTTCCCCCTCCCTGTATCCGCCCTTGCGAACATTAGGAAAGAGATAGAAAAAGGTAATGAAAAAGCAGAAAAACAAATCATTTATACAAGTACACTTTTTATTAGCGAGAATTAAGAAACCTATTTAAGAACCTAGCGAACCTGATTTTCAGTCAAGCACCATTTATATACTAGGAACCTGTTCAAGCTGACTTGAAAAAAATCTAGGTTCTCTGAACAAGAGGTTTTATTGCATTACAATGGAAGCTGCAATTGTATTGGCCCAAATGTTTCACTTAAGTCATGTTGTTATAATATTCATGTGAGTTAGTAATTATAGTTATAAAATATCATCTTTTATGAGGTATCGACTATGCATCGTCACCAAATGGCTTCTTATTATTATCATAACAACAATTTTTACAATGAAAATGCACCATCATTGATCTAGATTGTCTGTTTGTTCGTTCTCATCAGCTTCAGTTTCATCCCTAACACTACTGACATCATCAACATCATCATTATCATTTGCAGCTTCATCTTCAAGTAAAGACAGTGTTGATTCTCCACTTCCATCCAAAATTCTTTTCAGCAATTCTTCATAATCTGTTTCAAACAAGACTTCTTCCTTCCAAAGTCTTTGCAGGCTTGCTAGTTCTTGGATTAAGGATGCTCTCTTCACTAGAAGAAGGTTCTTGTGACTTGGATTATTTTGAGTGGAAGCCTTATCGATCCAAGAATCAACTTTCTGAACTTCCTCAGAAAGAAAGGTCTGAAACCTTTCAACCTCTGCTTTAAGAAGAATGATTTCTTCGTTGGCCCTTTTTTTCAACAAAAACACATTTATGATTTGTATTTTTGTAGAATGGGCTAGGGTGTTACGTTGAGGATCCACGTTGACTGCACTGTAAATGGTTGATTGCGGATCTTTCACTATAACAAAAACTTCATCATCTGACAGATCACCAAACTGAGCTGTTCTCAAAGCTTTCAGTTGGGGTATGAGCAGTTTGACACTGGCTGTTATCTTGGTAAGTTCTTTGTTCAGCTTTTTAGCAATAGCTTGTCCATCTGCAAAGACAGATTACAAAATAAGGTAAATAAATAGCAATTAAATAAATATTATGATTACACTGCAATCTATCCAAGCCCACACCCAGATAAGCCAGACACTTCCTGAGCCTCTGTTTTAATCATTCTGTGCACCTGTCTAAGACACACACATAAAGCTGGTCTTCAGAGTGTTTATCACCATTATCATGTCATATCAAGAACCTATCATTTACCTGCATACTTTTTCTTCATTTCCAGAACAAAAATCCGTTCCGCTGCTAGGTGGTGTAGTTTTTTGAGTAACTGACACCCTTGTTTAAGCTTGAGGCGAGCAAGAACTTCTTTGTACAAAGAACTTGCCACAGTCCACTTCCTTTGAATTCCTTGTTGCCTCTCAATAGATGTTTGCAACTTCTCAAGCCTAAATAATATATTACAAACAAGGATATCAGAAAGAAATATCTCAACTGGCACTGAGCTAAAAATACTGAAGCAAGCATGCAATTACTTTTTAAGATACTTTTCCTTGACACAAAATTTGATTCCTTAAAAGAACCTTAAAAAGATTAAATACCATACACATGAGTATGCAGTTGAAGAATTTAATGAATCTAATATTAAATAATAATTGGTTTATACATCAGTGTCAAATGTTTTTACATTTTACTGTTTTGATTTTGATTCACATTTATTTCCTACCTATAAACATTTTTTGTTACACAAAGGTTTAGTGGATGAATGAATATTAGAGATTTATTTGTGAGATTTACAGTACAAACCTCTGTAACTGTTTCTTTATTGATTCAACTTCCTGAGCATTAATCTCAGAATTGGACTGCAATTTAAACCTAGAAATAATAATGTCAAGTTTTATCATTGTTTATACTGTATCATAAGTACTTGTAACACAGCACTAATCAGCTACAACATCATTTTATTGCAGTGATCACTTCCCTGAATAGTAGATAATTACTACTGATTGTTAAGCCTCCCATGGAAACTCAAACATGCCATGCACCAATCAACTTCAGTCATTTGTTTGAGTTTAGTACTGTATAGATTATCCTTGATCATCCAATGCGTAACTTGAATGATTTGAATTTCATTTGCGGGCTCTGGTATAAATGTGCCATATTTGACTGCCAAAATGTATGTGATGTATTAAATAAGGGCAGTTGGGGAGAATGATTAACTTTATATTTATTAAAGTGAATAATTGAAATAATATTGGAAAATATAATAATACTAATAAAAATAATAACAATCATAATCATCATTATCATCATCAAAATTCCTTAACTTACTTAAGATCGTTTGCAGTGCTAAGGCTTTCAACATACTTCTCATCCCATTCCAGCTCTATAGAAAATAAAATAACTTTAGTAAATTATTATATCTGCAATAATTCCACGATGATTTGATGCACTAACATACAGTATATTTAGTTACTACTATTCAAATCTATGTAGTCATGACTGTACCCATTTAACACAAGCAATCTAAATTTTAGTAAAAACCCATTTCAAAACACATGCCAATTTGAGATCAACTGGTTAAAATTAATGGCCACAGTTATATCACATGATAAAACATTGAAAAGATTGATAAAAGAATGAAATGTCCATAACATTCGTGAGAAGCTGGGTTCTTCTGTTGAGATGCTGCTCCCTACTTTTTGCTATCTACTCAAATCTACAGATTTGAGTGACAGCTCCAAAGTGAACATTTCACCATACTGGAAAAAACAGATTAACTCCAATACCTTCATCACTGCTTTCAGTTGACACTTCTGCCTCAATCCACATCTCAATATCTTGCTCTGTAACAGGTTCTGTTGTGTAATAAGGACAATGGATTAATTTCATCCTGTGCAGCAAGAAAAAGTCTGAATATTTAATATACTAAGAGATTTTTCATATGTATAACCACTTAATTTAAAAGATATTGTGCACACTTGAATTTTAGCTATACCTGCAGATGGGGTACATGACTATGGTACAATTATAGCAACACTAGGTTGTATTTTATAACAAAAAGTGTGTAATTAATATCACTTTGCTATATTATACATGCCTGACAAAGACTTGCACAGGGAATCAATTTTTTCAGTTGAGTTTTGGAGAATTTCTTTACTTCGTCTAAACTTTCTCTTCAACGAAGGTCCTGTGGAACATTGAAAACATTCCAAAAATTGTAATAAACAAATTGAAAGAAAAATATTAACTATCCAATGAATTATGAAACAATACTATTTCACAAAGGGGAACTTAAACACTAAAAATAAAGTTATAACAAAAACATACTCTCCGAAAAAAGATGTGTATTTTGTTACCACAAATGATTTATTTTTGGATAGTGTCCATTAAAATTATAAATTAATGGTTGGACACTATCTAAAAATACATCATTCATTTTAACAAAATATACATCTTTTAAAAAGTATGAAGAAACATACAAGGCTGTTGTGCATGAAACCTCTAGGTAAAAAAAAAATCAATGAAACATTGTTACATATGGGCATTTAATGCTGTTTTGAACTAAACTGTAGGAAGAAGTGAACACATAACATTTACAGGTTGACTTCTTTTTATTTGTTATATTGAAGTAGCAGTAAATACCCTCAAAAAAGACCCTTTATAGATTAAACAAGCTTTACCAAACTTTTCACGGAGTTGATCTCCGTAGTGCAAAAGACCATCAGTAAGGACATCAATTCTTTTATCTGCTGCCATTTCCTTTGTTATCCTAGAATAGTCACGAAGGAAAGCCCAAAGCCTCTCAGTACCCTCACCATCTGTGAGACCAATTCCATCAATACGTCTTGGTGAATACTTGATCTGAAGAATTAAGAGTTAATTTCAATTTGATACATAGCAATCACAATTAAGTTATTATTATTACCATTAATTAAAATTAGGAATGCTTTGTTACCTGACATGAAGCTTTGTGACCATAACAGTGAAAAATTGGTATACCCAAGGTCAACTGGGTTGGGTTGAACAGTAATTCTTGTGCATTTTTCTAAAACAGAGATTATTGTTATTATTGTTGATATTCACAAGAATAAAATTTAAAAGTTTGTGATCTAACCACACATTATATTATCTAGTATATTGTAATGACAAACACAGAAATTATAGCTGCCTTTGGACACTTCACCCAAAAAGCCTTTATATATAATTTCAATATAAACTGAATGAAATGATATAAAGAACTTAAGAAACACTCCATTAGCTATAACTATTAAATTTAGTAGTAGAAAACAACAATAACAACAACAAAAAATATGTTTACCTTCATATGTGAGGACAATATGCATGCAATGTCATAGAGCATGACAAACTTTAGACTTTTATTGTTCTCGTCAAGAAAGCGCTTAACCTCGTAAAGTGGATAACCAATCCTGAAATGAAACAAAAGATCCAAAGATCAAAAAAGAAGAAAAAGTGGAAAAAATGAAGGTGGCCACACCTTTTCAATACTGATGTATATATGTTGTGGTTTAAATTTAACAATTGGTTCATGCGTCAGCATGCATTCATGGAGATTTAACTGCGCAGGAAGTTTGGAGAGCACGAAAGATGTAGAAGAGTTGCTCGAGGCTGTGCCTCGAGCAACTCTAACATTTTTAGTGCTCTCCAAACTTCCCAAGTGCTCAACTTCTCCATGAATACGCAGCTGACACATGAACCAATTGTTTTATAACATTTTCCACGCTGCAGTTTATGAATAAAGGGAAGAAATTCCCTCTCCTATGCCTCAATGTGTGGTTTATTTTGTTTTGGGAAAGTATTTCGCTACGCTTCAATGATCTCCTCTCGGATTGGTTAAAAACTGACAGCTGCATTCATGCGTGGAAATGAAGCTAGAGTTGAGGAACGAAATGAAATCAGCATTGATTGTCTTCCCCTTTCTCTGGGTTCTTTCTCAAAAAAAAGGTAGGTAGATCTTCATCAACTTGTTCACTTGTTGCCATGTCTAGTTTATTACCAAAGTTTTTCCCGGTTTTTAATGAAAAATGCTCAAGTCCCCTGCAAGAAAAAAAAATTGTCGCGAGGGATTTGACGTCACCAGCATGCATCAGTGGGACATTTGTTCATAGCAGCTCAATAAGACTTACACAGAGAAAGCACGTGCGCTATGTTATAAATACTCTAAAAATTTATAAATTTATTACAACTTCAAAAAGAACATGTAACTCTTTGCAAGTACTTTCATCAATAGATAATAATCATTGATTTTTAAAAAGAGATCAAGATAATAAGAGTAATGACAACACTTCAAGGATAACAGCTAGATAGCCAATGCATTTGTCCATTGCTATTACATAATAATTATTAATTACTGAAATGCACCTTTCACCATGTTTGATGCTATGAAATCCTTTGGGGAAGTCATGTCTGCAGACACGACCAAAGACTCCTTTCTCATCAAAAAGTTTATTCTTTCCTTTTGATCTAATGGAGCTTGCAAGTTCACCAGCATGAAATGAGCTGCAGTCCTAAAAAAAATTAATTGGGTTTTAAAGTGCTTCTACGTGTATACTGGAATATAGAAATATATTGCCAACAACCAACCAAAAAAAAAATCAATAATTAATATTTGGCATGGCTTGGCATTTGTGTCTACATAAGTTTGTAAATTTGTATCTGCCACTGGTGTGGTGAGAGAAGGCTCCCAGATAATTATCACTGACCATCATAATGAGGTCATCAGATAGCTCCTTGTTATTGGAAAGGAATAGCTACTAGTAAAAGTAAGATATTTGCACAGGACATTTTTAGGCTACTGTTTCCAATGTGCTGTGGCTTGATTTTTCTTTATTAACAAACCTTTGAAACCTCAGAAGCACGTTCACAGTAGCCATTTACAAAATTGTCAACATCATCTTGGTCTGCAAACATCAGCTGTCCATGTTTTGGAACTCCTATTGATTTCAGTCCCTGGCATTTCTTCCTGGAAAGACCAAAGCATGCATCCATGCTCTCTATCAAAATTCCATTTTCCTGCAAGTCAAAAAAATATTGTGGTGCAAAATTACCCAGGTTAAAAAATTGTACCTAGGGAAAAATTAAAATTACCTTAGAAAAAAATTACCTGCAACAAATACCTTTTATACATTTAAATAATTAAATCAAAAGCACTTTAGACACTGTTTCCTAATCTGTAAAGGGAGTTTTCTGTTTTGAATATCATTAAATATACTGAATAAATTAGGTATATGTATAGAGCGTACAATTCAAGGTCTCTGCAATCAAGTGTACATGTAAAATATCATGAATAAAGGAAGATTATTTATTAAATACCTTTGGACAAAGCGGACAAACTGTACCATTCCAGAGGTCTGGGAAGCACTGAGTCATTTTCTTAATTTGATACTTGAAGTACCTACATGTACATGTACAAGATTGTATGTTCATAACGATAAGAAAGTAATATTGGTAGCCATGTATAATACGTTGGGGTATCATGCTAGTCATGTATAATAGGGCTAGCTATGACTACCCATGTAGTATTGGGTAGCCATGACTATGGCTATATGGGTACATGATAAGAAAATATTGGTAGTCATGACTACATGGTACCATATGTCATAATAAAAATTAGTATGCAATTAATTACCTGTACTCTTCAAAAGATGCTTGATTTAGGAGTTGATATATTGAAAAAACCTGTGATAACAAAAAAGTTTAAAATTTCAATGAGTTCAAAATTTATTCATCCATGTATATTAGCTATAATTTGAGAGAGTACTTGTTTGATGCTAGTCTTATAATTAGAATTCACTTCATGCTTAAAATAAATTACACTTGATAAAAAGCCATTATGTTGTTTCTTTAAGAAACATCTTTTCTTTGGCAGGAATTTCCTTATCTTCTAGCTAGGGAGTGATTAAAATAATGTACAACATGCATGTATTCGTGGGATCATAATGCACATGATGAAAGGTTTCATCAACATGAAAAACTACTGGATAATTAGGCAGTGCATTTACTGCTCTTACCATTCTTGGTTGTAACGAGGGCCTTAACAGTTCAACGGCTTCACAAAATTCTCTGAGGGAAACTTTGCAGTGCAAGAACACTGTTTCCATCAGATCCATTAAATAAAATGTGAAGGCTGTGGCAGGTTTATCAGGAGATGCTGGCCACAAGTTGTTCTTTATTAGTGTTGTGGTTGGGTGATAGCAGTTACAAAACCAAACTTTTTTTGAATACTGATTGCCTACAATTAAAAATAAAATGATAACTGAATGAAAACTTGAAAGGAATGTTATTTATTTCAAAATGAATTCCAAAAAGATTCTATTATAATCCAAAAAATAATGTGCTGCTTAATCTATGGAATGCAGCATATATGAAGATGATACGGTCGTCATCAGTGTTGCATATATCTATACTAATCAGCAGACCAGGACAAGAGTACATGACTACATTATCTTTAGTTAATAAAGTACCTTTTAGTTTCTTCAATTACAGATTACTATGTGCAAAGCTAAACATTCTCATACCGTGCTCATCAATACACACAATGTCTCTTGCTTCAGCAGATCCACAGTTGCATTGGAAACCTAATGGTAATCCGTTGACCACATAAGGGGTGAACATCCCCTCCTGAAATTAATTAAAATATACAATAACATTACTTACTTTTAGTAGAGACACCAGCAATATATTAATAAATAGTAATTATTATATGGCTGTGTCTCACGAAGACTGGGAACTACCAAATTCACAAATTTGATCAATTGGCTGAAATCAATGTTGAAAGCGGTCTAGATTTTCTCATCTAGACCAGCATCTAGACCAGTCTAGGAAAAACAGGTAAAAAGTATATAAAAAAATGGCATATAAGACACAGCCATGTAATAAACATCTTATTAACCGAGCTAGGTCAGTCTGTATGACAGAATCTTGACCTTGGTCACTGGTACAGACCTCACTGTATTCGGTCTGTACTGGTGATCTCGGTCTCGATTCTCCCATACAGACCTCCCGCTCGGTTAATAAGAATAAGAACTACATGAAAAGGGGTACAATGAATATTTTGATTCATTGCACTACAGACAGCATGACAGCTGAATTGACAATATACTCTATGTTACACAACAACAACAACATTTTTATTTCTACCTTGAATTGATACAAGCTCTAAACATTTTTAGCGAAGAAACAGTTTGTAATAGTTTCTCTACTGAGCTCCATATTTTTGTACCTATGAATTTGATAATGAATTTGTCATAATTTGTTTTTGCTTTTGGAAGATACAAGTTTTTCCTTGCAGCAGATCTTGTTTGACAATTACACCAGGTTTATATTCATATAATTTTTATTTGGATGAAAATTAAAACTTTTGTTCTTTTTTAACTACTTTATTCATATATTCCTTAATAACTGATATGCAATAGATCAGCTTACAAAAAAGGGGCGAGAATAATAATGTCAAACAAAAGTTGGTCCCACAGCAGTTCGATCGGAAACCTCTCGGAGCAGAGTAGAGAACCAACAAACTCAATCCACTTATTACATTTCGAAACTCACCTTCCATTTTTCCAAAACATGAAAATGGTTCCTCACACTGTGCAAAATATTAGCACATTCAAGGCAGAAGTACTGCTTGGGGCCACAATATTGACATCGCAGTGTTGCTGGTTCTTGGAGGCAGTAAACACATGTTGTGTCAGTCGGAAAACAGCATTCCTCCACATAAGAATCAAACAACTGTCTTCTTATGTTGTCCCATTTCTGGATGTTGGCGATATGTCTTTTCTCGTACGAAGATAGACCAGAACCGCTCTCACTAAACTCCTCAAACGAGAAAGGTTCGACGATCTCAGGTTGTTCATTTTCAACTGAACAGGTTCGTGGGGTACGAAGCGTGGATTCCGCCGTTAGCGAAAAAGTTTTCCTCGATTTCTTTCCACTTTTGTCTACAAAAGTAGCGTCGAAAGAAAACGGCTTAAGCCGCTTTCCGCTCATTTGAAGTTATGTAAATAAGCCACCGTCCATAAAACACACGCTGGATAAAACAAAGGAGAAATAGCTCTTGGTGATAGAACGACCGAGAGGAAATCTGGGAATGTTTGACAACAAGAATGCTAAGAATGTATTTTGAAGTGGGCTGAGCCCAGCAAGGGAAATTTCTTTCTCCGGGGTGAGCCCATTTCCTCCGAGTGAACCGGGTGTCCGTGTATGTAGGTAAGGTCAATCCTGTTAACATTTTGGACTAGGACGCGACGCAATTCCGGGAAATGAGGCGCGACGTGGAGTTGTAGCTTTGTTATTAGTGTTGAAATTAAGAGGAATCATTTTAAACCAATGTTTACTGGTTGTATTTACAGACCAGGGAACCAAAACTTAGATGAATTTATAACTGAGATGGATGAAGGTTTCTCAAACTGTAACCTCGAACGCTAGGAACTGATTTTACTAGGAAACTTTAGCGTTGATTGTAACACCACAAACAACAACACGCAAACTTCAGGAATACATCTAGATACGATCTCAGCCAAATAGTTTCTAGGCCTGTTCGTGTCACTGGGAATTCAAAGACTACAAAGGACTTTATTTTTGTGAATCATAACCATCTCATTATTTAGTCTGAAGTTATTCTTTAATATCTTAGTGACCACAACTGGATTCTTTGGGTTTTCCAAGCAGGTGTTCGTAAATTGCCAGCTAAAGTGAACCAAATATTTAGTTACCCGTTAAACGCACAAGGAAGATGGATGTTTGCTAATTTTTTACCACGGGTACACATTTTTCCCCGATTTCTCAAAGAAAAGTTTGAATAAGCTCCTGGTTTTTTTCCAAGGTAGCCGTTCATCCATATATTCCATATATATTTGTCAGAGATGGGTGGAGAATAGCTGCTCTGGTGGAGAGGCATAACGTCATCCAAGGAATATTGCAAGATTCTATCATTTTCTTTTTTTATGGAAATTCAGAAGGGTAGGTCTCTATCTATCTATTACTTCACCTCGGATATGGCTTCTTTTGCATAAAGTTCTTTAGCTTTAATTACTGCAAGCGACATAGCAGGTCGGTTGAGAGGAGGGTTTAAGCAAACAGGAAGAAATGTAAGTTTACATGATTACTTTCGTCTATAGCAGTTATTTTTGTTGGAAAGAGAGAAATCTTGATAACAGGTCATGACTGAACGAGGTGTTTTTTGCCCAGACAGTTGTAGCTTCGTGATTAACATACATTTAGAAATGATCTGAACAACCGCCAATGTTGTTCAAGTCTTGTTCCCATGCTTTTTGAAACCAAACAGCCAATCTACTCTGTAAGTGAGGCAAATTCTGAATTCATGACTCCATGTTTCTCGGCCGCAAGAGCTTCAGAAGTTGAAAGGCGGATAATTTGAGAATTTATGTCGACATCTGGCAAACACTGACTCAACTTGTTGATTATGTTTGCCATGACCGCATTTCCCTCTTGCAAACGGGCAAAGTACAGTTTGGTGAGAATTCCATTTGCTGTTCAGTCGTGAGTTTCCTCGTTTTATGCAGAAGTTGAACAAGCTAACAAATGAGGAAACAAACTATATAAAACGATTCTATTAAAAAATAGGGCTTCAATGATAGCTTTTTGGGCTCCCTGAGCTTTCTACAAAAATTTTTGTTTAATAAATTGATCGAGCACTGATAAGGAGTTGAAAATATTTGCAAGTAGTCATTTCAGAAGGTATCAATTATTACTCACCCAACTCCAAACTCTTAACTCCGCCGGCATTGCTGCTTTTGATGACATAGATGAAAGCAAAGGCATTTGGTAAGTAGTTCACAACAATGTCGTCCATAATATCTGACTCCCCGACTTCAGGGCTGTCAACGATCACAAAACCATCCTAGTGTGGAAACAGAGTAAGTAAGTTTATTTTCTCCATGTAATTCTCCTTACAATTCGGCGTTAAAACCCCCAAAGGGATCGTGAAATTTAGTTGCCACCTTACATCATATTCATAAAAGCATGGTTTGAAGCATGATCGTCGGAGTATCTAACCTGTAATAATCTGTTAGACCAAGTTAGTTTGATGTCTTTTCTCTTAAACTTGCTGACTTGACATGAACAAATTCTGATATTTGATCTAAGTAAGGCGAGGATTCTTTAAGATACTATATCTCGGGAGCCTTTCCTTCTTCGTTATAGTGTATCTTTACCCTTTCCTCTCTTCCATATTTCAATTCACACATTGTAGATGTTGTACTCAGAACTGTGGAATGGCAAAAGCTCTTCACCAAGAATTAGGGTCAATATGCTGCTTTTGCCTGCACTGGTCTCTCCTAGGCGTAAGTAAAATGCAAAATGATCATTGCTCAAATCTTAAATCTCAAGTTCTTCCTTAAACAATCAATATAAGTTTGAAATTTTACCATAAGAGAAATACAATTGCCATGCATAAAGTATTCCTCCCATAAACTCGAGTTCGAGTGATTCAACGTAATTTTTTTCGGTTTTAAAGGTCAAATCCTCACTACATAGGGTAAACTCTAAGGCTTAAGAATTCAATAGATCGTAGCTGACAGTTTTGTTAAGACAAAATGAAATTAATTGGGAAACATCCTAGCCAATTAGATTTTTGATACTCCTCTTTGTCACCGGGTTTCTTTGTGCTTAGCATGATCATGACTGATCAAAGCACTCCAGTGGTTTGGGCAAGGTATTATATTCAACATATTCACCTGCTATTAAAACAACATAATCTCTGTCGTCTATTCTTTTCATTCTTGTCTTGACTTTTGAAAGGACGTCGCCCTCGCTTGTTTTCAGCAAATCAAGGAAGGTAGCGTCAAGAAAATAGGTGGCTTTGATGAAAGCTGTATTTCCCTCTCCACCTCAGCGTAATAATCAAGACGGGCTAACGACTTTTTCTTGTCCATTGATTGTGCCTCTAAAATCACCTTAAAGGCCTGAAACATGCGTAAATATTGAATGGGTTAAAGAAGTAAATGAATTTATTTAGACTAATTGTAACATTTAGGCTAGAAGAGAAAAAAGCTGATATTACCGCTGGGCAATTTACACTTAATTCAAGAAAGTTGTTTTTTTGCTTGTTAAAAATGCAGCGCCGAGTTTAAGTTGGCAGGATATCAGTTACGTTCCATATTCCTATTCACAACTGAAAAACGACAAATGTATGGGTGTGCAGGTCGAACTGAGTGTTTACTGCCGTCCGTGTCATTGCAGAAATAAAAGCTCAAGTAAGTAGCTTTATATAACAAGGGCGATCGAAACTTAGTTTACAACACTTAGACAAGGCAAACGAGCACCCGCCTGTTATGAAAAACCCAAAAAAGCCACAGGGAAAATAAGAACGTATTTCCGGACCAAATGCAGCTACGCCGACCCTCGGTTAGAGATTGAGTACAGTTCACCACATATACTAACTATGCATGCATAATTTAGAGTATAAAAACGTTAACGAGATGCTTGAACGTCCATTAAGCAAGAACTCACCTGTTGTTAAGTGGCTGAGATGCATAAATTATTACTGTCAGACCTCATATACACTACAACTAAAGAGTTTGTTTGTGCCAGGAGGAAATTATTTTCATTTTCTCTCACTGCCACCTACAGCTTAGTTCCGCCGAATGTAATGACATTTCATCAAAGCCACCTATTTTCTTTATCTGGATATATCGTTAATATAGTTTTCAAGTAGAAAGGAAAAAAAAAGTCATAAGGTTTCAGTATTGTTAGTTTAATTCTCAAGTAACCTTGCAAGAAACAAATGGCAGACACCGTGAGCCAGATGAATTACAATTAAATTTTGAGGTTGAAAGGACTGAAGTAATTACTTCATTTTGTGTTCGAGACCTTACTGTTTGCCTGCTGTTGTGAATTCACCGATCAGAACAAAATATAAAGCTGAGCCTAACTAATTTCAATTTCCTTCGGTGAACTGTCTGCCAAATGACTATGAGGTCTTTTGCCACATGATTCTGTCATGATATTGCCATAGTTAATCATATTTTTCGTATGGCAAGCTTGATAGTACTGCCTACGACCGATAACTGACCAAGAAAGAGTACAAATGCTCGATTACTCGTGACAGTGAGTTTAAAAGCTTCAAGCAATTTCTTAAAAGCAGAAGCCCAACTACTTTGGCAGCAAGGCCATTGTAGCAATGGC